TCTCCAGCACCCGAGGTCTTCGAGATGACTTTGTTCTCAGGATCAAAGAGAAAGTAAAGACGAATTTCCAAGTTTCATGATACATTATCAACAGCCAAGTGGAGCGATACTCTAGTATATATATATGTTTGAGCTCATGATGACAGCCTTAATGTAGCTTTTGAGAACGAGTTTATGGGGAAAAAAAACAATGACAGCGATGGAAATGCGCACTCATTTCGATGGCAGCGAGAAAATACCCACGTTCTTTTGAGCATTGGGAATTCAATGCCGTAATTTTGAACGATAGTTTTCCCAGATCTTATGGTTTCGGAACTGTACCCAGCGACATTTGGGACAACCTGCTTGTTTCTCAAAATGTCCTGTACCATTTATCATAGTATTTCACCGCCTGTATTGCCCATTACGAATTGTATCTCTGATTTTTGGCAATAAAGTATTGCCTAACAGCATAAATGATTGCTGCAATTCCTAACGTTATGGTGACATAACTAAATAATCTTGAATTAGTTGTGACTTTTATAGGGCTTAGGAGAGGCGTATTTTCAGATGACTTCTTGACTCAAACTTCACATCGGCCTTTGCAAATTAGCATACGGGATGTCTCGCTTATTCCTGCAATAGTTTAATTATTAGTCCAGTCCTATGATTATTCGCCTACATTGTTGTATATAAAGCCAGTTTTTTTGTGCTTCTGGCGGACTAGATCAATCAATTATCGATGCGAATTCGGCTTACATGGTGCGAGAACGAGGAATTTGGTGTTCTTGTAAAAACTATGTCTCTCGTGACGGAGTTCCCCATCGCGCACAGGATCAGATCAGATCTGTGGGTTATAGTTGGTGGTAATAATGAATCGAATAAGACAGGTGACAGCAAGCTATGTGGTCTACCTTAGGCAAAATTGTTGTTCGTTGCGAATTTCAAATTCGATAATAAGCAAAGTAAGCCGGCAATGCTACATCTTTAAAGTCATCTGAATTTCATGACAATAAAACATCTCTTACCTGTTTGTTGCTGAAAGTTTTTTTAGATTCGATTCTCCGTCTAAAGTACCACTACAGCCTGGAGCTTCCCAAGTGATTTCAATGTATGAGTATGAATCTGACATTGAAGATCATTTTGGGGGTAGACCCCCCCCCCCCCCCAGAAACTCCTCCAATTCATGAGATATGCCCAACATCAAACGTCATGACGGGACTTCGAAGTCTAAGTTCATCTTACTCCGCGATTGAAGATATTCCATGGTTAATAAGGGATGAAAAGTAGAGATTAACAAATGGATTGAGTCATATGTTACATTTCGTATAGAATTGATCTGGATCTGAACACAGTAGATCATATTGACAAGCTTAGTGCAAGTACGGTCGTCCGAGAAGTTGACCAGCCTATTGACAGTCTATCGTCGACACTTTCGGCGAGTCCTAGCTTTGGCACTAATTCATGAATGTGTGATGGTGTGTGGTTATCGCGCGAGATTGATTTCAATATCGATTTATTGGCCGAGATCGGGCGCTGGCTACCGAGTGCTTCTTACCTCTCACCCGAACCCTACAACTAGCTACTTATTCGCCGCGTTTCTCATCATAGGATCTTTGAAGTCTTGTAAGTTTTGATCTCCGGAGTCGGGCAAGGGTTAAGATCAGGGTTAGAGGGTAGATATGTTATTGAGTGTGGGTTTGTAGTTGTTAGGTTAGAAGCACGAAGTCTCCTATATTATTTTTCCCTGATAATACTCGCATTACTCGAATGCATGCTCATCAAGTGTTTATTATTGAATCGCGTCAGCAATTTTATCTCATCAAGGATGCTACATTCTGACAGCCTCGACAGAACATGATGGGGTTGAATATGCAGAGAGCTCATAGGAAGGTAGACATACGATGCATTATAAGGCCATACTCCATGACGCACGCCGAAAAAGAAGTATAGTTATTCAGTCTCCAATAGTGAATCTCATCACTGCAATATCTACCTATTCATCATTTATCCCGCAACTCCTGCAGCTTTTCAACATTACCCGAGAGACTTTGCACATCTGTCTTTTCATACTAATCCTCAGTAGCGCCTATCATAATCATGTTCAAAGTTCCCTACCACTCGCATCATTTTTGGACTTCTTGACAAACTCACCTTGTAATCTACTTTCATTTACTGCTTTCTTATAGAGTTTTATCTGACTTCTTTTATACGTCGTAGAGAACAAAGATTATCTGAATAGTATGAAGGGTTAGAATACAAATTGGATATTCCTGCTTCAGTGCGGGGCACGACATCTCAAGGGCATGATTTTCTGCGGTTTAAGCTAGTAAATTCACTGAGATTTTGGAGAACCAGCAAAGTAACATTTCTTGCTTTACTATTTAGGAGTGTATTATAGCGTCGTTCCTATAAAACCGAACCATTTAGACTCTCTACTTGTAAAACCAAAATATTTTCTTAGAGATGGAAGTGCTTTCCATTGTGACCCCCGAGCGAGAATAGGTGATCGTGGAGATGTCTCATGAGACTGACTTGGGGACATTTGCCATTCCATTTTAAATCTCAACAAGCGGGAAGATTCGAGCTGCAAGATGCTTGATACCGAGTTCGGTTCAGTTATCGGTTCAGTTATATCGAATTCTTCATCAAATAAAAGTTTCGAGTTTTGATTTCTCTTGTCCTTTTATGTGAAATTGTGAAATTTCGAAGTTATGGCTGTTGTGTTTCTTTAGACTATCGAACTAGATGTTGTTTAAATGTATGGAATGTATAAAAAGATGTACAATATCGAGAGACCTGGGTAGGGTAGAATTATAGAATTAGGATTTTAAATACATTGGCAGTGATACTTTCGAGGAATATAGTTTGCTGTAACGATTTTTCTGTGCTGGTAAAGCCTAATGAACTGTGACAGGGTCTATTTATACTGTGCTGTGGAGGGAAGAGCTTTTCGGGGAGAGCGGAAAGGAATAGATTTGGAGGGGTGATTGTACTAACCGCAGTGCAACGCAATGATGAGAAGCATGATTGGATGGTACAGACATACCTTGCTACATTGAATAGATGTTAAATCTTACAATCCATTATTTCAAAAACAACACTCTCCACAAAGACGAATTAGACGGGAAGACCTAGCTGTAGACAGAGAAGATTAGATGGAGAATTGAGTCTCTTGATCTCTGATCCTACTGTCTTCCGTGTGCTATGGATGTACATCTCGATTCCCTCAACCTGTTCGAGAAAGCATTAAACTTGTTTCCGCTTTCGGGTTCGATTGATCCCTCAATGTACGGATCATTTTGGATCACCTACTTTCTTATAATCAAGCCACAAATATGAGTGAGTACGTGCTATGATCAAAGATACACTTTCTATATCGTTCAGTAACTCACCTCTCTCTTTGCCGAATACCTGTACATCCATCAACCGTATCATCCATCCACTTTCCTAGCGAAGCGAACAATCTCGCCCCACACACCTCTCTACTCTCTATTCTCTACTCCTATATAAGAATTTCTCGAGCGAAGGAATTGAACCATACAAGCTCAACCTTCCAACCGCCACCGCCGCCGATGTGTCACTGAAGTAGATGCCAGGCTCGCTTGGACCGGCTCTGGTACTAGTTTGTAGATCTTGTGTGAGAATTCGGAAGGAATATATGGCTTCTTCTCAAATTAGTCCGGTTTTTGTGTTGTCGCTTACGTAGACTTCAACGCCGTATTGCCGTTGTCTTGGGTATTCATCGTGATCGGTATCGGTATCGATGTTGGTATCGTCATCATCATCGCCATCGCCATCGCCATCGCAGACTATACTATACTGTCAAGTAGATAGTAACACTAGGAAAAACGTCGATGTTGCTTGTGTCTTTATATGAAATCCGGACGTAAGGATCTCCTTTCCCTATCGAGTACAACGACTCAAGAGTCACTGGGGCTAATCCCTGCCTACTGACTGTGCCTTGGAACAAACTACCCTGTTTTTGCTTGAAGAAATTCTAATATTGATATTCATGTTGGCTTTTTATATTCGAGTAGAGTGGTGTTTACCGATATTCCGCAACATATCTTGATTCAAGCTCCGAGCTGATACTCATTCTTCTAATATAATCCCCATCCCGTCTTGTCCATACAATACATGTATACTTACATACATAAGGTAGGTCTATGATGGGAAGAAAGTCATTTGACCTAAATTTCAACTTCGTATTCACTAGATTAGGGTTCTATAATGACATACATTCATCAATCTCTTCATCCCATCTCGTCCCATCCAACAACTTAAATTTGACAAGGAAATTACAACATACAATACCTAAATCTAGATCTAAATCTAAAAGTGAGGTAGCGGTAGCTAGTCAGATCTCGATATCTCTCTTTCTATCTAACTAACTGATCAACCGAAGCCTAATACACTATACCATGATATACTAATATTCCACTTCCTACTTCATCTCTATCCAGTATATAAATTAGCGAGTATAGTATCTTAAAAAAATCAGATCAACAAATAAACAAAAGACCTCGTTTTTCTTTTTCCGTTACATTATTTATTACGACTCACTCTAAGTGCTCTCCAGTGGCAACGATCAATAGTCGTTGTTTCCCTTCTTACACCCCCCCCCCCCCCCCTTGACCTAGCTATTCATAGTCTTTCAGTGTAATTTGGGTTCGGATATGTTCCCATTGAAAATTCAAACGTTTGATATCGAGAACAACTGAAGCTCACAAAAGAATGCAAAGAGAAGAAAGATCCAGTTCAAAATGAATATGCATTGTAATGGTATCACTAAAATCAACGCTAAAATCTGAACTACAAAGACGCTCTAAAAAGACATGTAGTTCACCACTCTAAATACCCCCCAAATCTGCGTTGCCGTCTTTCTATCTTTTTAACTCCATGCGATATAAGGCGCTCTAAAAACCCTCCGGCCCCAACAAAAGAAAATAATAGACTCTAAGAATAAGAAAGAAAACAAAACATCAATGTCAACACCACGCCCGACTTTTCCAACCCCCTCACAACCTCATAAACATCTTTCTACTCCCCATCTCGACATCACTCACATCATTCTGACTCTTAAACGGTTCCATCCCACCCTTCTTGCTTCTAAACCTAAAATTCGCCTCTGTCCACGCCCCTTGCATTGCCAACCCCGGATGAAGAATCGTAAGACCTCCTGTAGCCAAAACAATCATGACACCTTCTAGAACCATGAATTCCGCCTCATGACTCACAAAAAGTGAGCCGCTGAAACCACCTGACAGTTCTATACATCTGTAGAGAGAACGGACGAAGATGGTCACTGTTGCCATGCAGAGAGCGCCGAGGAAGGCTTTGAACAGGGTGGAGGATACGAGATCGATGTATCGAGGATTCCAGGTACCTTTTGCGCAACGGACTCTCCAAGCAAAATCGGCGCAAAGGATAGAGAAGAGGACAAGAGAAAAGACTTGGAATCCAAGACCTGCTAACATGATATTCTTTCCCAGGTTACTCTGATCAACGGTATCTGCTAATGAAGCGATGGCTCCACCAGCGGCTTGGAGAATTAGTGAGATCAGATCGCAGGTGCAGAAGATGATTGTATATGTTCCTGGCTTGAAACGAGAGATTTCTTGGCCGTAGAGGATGACGATACGGGAGAGACAGAGGTAGATGGCTGCGGTGAGGAAGGCGGGTGCGATGGTGAGACAAATGAGGTACATCAGAAAGTTGTTTTTGTCGAAAGGAGCATAGTGGAGAAGAATCCTAGCTACGTAACCAATAATTTCGAGGAGCTATGAAGTGTTAGTCTGTTGATCTTACATAGAGGTCAATGAGCAGAGAATAAGTAACGTACTAATCCAAATATCATAGCAACCATATATCCCCAAGTTTTGAACTTAATCCCAAGCCCAATTTGTGAAATAAAAAATATCCCGAATAAAACAGCGAATATGGAATTTCCAGCGACGGTAGGTAGATACTCGAAACTCGACAATGAAAGATCACACGTATCAAGTGTACATAAATGGGGGTTCATGAGTAAAGTTTCGTTGCCGTAGCCAGTTCCATGGCCATTGGAATGAGTTAAATTTGTCATATTGAATCCGTGTATGAAGCGAACAGATCAATGATGAGTGATAGAAATGTAAACTACTGTGAATTGAAAAGATGAGAAAGGTAAAGGGAAAGAGATGAAAGTGATTTGAAGCTTATCATTTTGATATATAGAGAGAACTTCACTTTACTTTAATATTCCCAACACCAGGCAGTGCATTTCTCCAAGATTCGTGTCAGTCGGTTACACGGGGTTTTCTTCATTGCGAGGGCAGCAAGGCATACGACAGCACGGAACCCATCACGGAACCCCATCACAGCTCTACCAATGATGTTGCTTGGCATTAACAGTAATATCTTATGTCAGCTAAAACTCGTAAAAGTAATCCTGCGATTGGTCGAATCGTAGAAAAAAGGATGACCTAGCAGACTTAGCCACATTGAAGATTGCCAGCGGCTCCAAAGATTAAGTTGGAACCCAATCCTTCGACAAGGATAAGCCAGAGAGTAAATATATATGCGAGAGGAAGAACTAAAGTGATCCATAAAGGCCTTCAGGAACGACCACGAAATTGGAAGAGAGAAGGGTAGGCATTGTCATTCCTTCGTGGGTCTACTCGAGTAGATTGTAAAAGCATTCAAACCCCATCATCAACTACTTAGTTTACACGACCGCTCGTACAATGGGACAACTAGAAGAAACGGGAGAGGAGTATATAATTACTTGACATGATTCTAACCACAAATTCAGAAACAAACCGATGAAAATACATTTCAAACAACTGTACGACAAGTCCAAAACTTTACGGACCAAGTACTTTACTGTCAACCTCTCTATTGCTGTTCAAACAGAACAAACATATCGAGTATTCGACGTCGAGAGAATCGAAATGTTAGGCTCTCGGATGCTAGGAAATATGGATGTCTAACGAAGAGTTATATATCCTCAACCTGTTATGCGACCACTTCATAACATGGGAATTGTTGGTAGTCGGACAATATGTTGAGTTAAGTGACCTCCAATTTGGGTAAAGAGACGATAGAAACACAGGGGAGAGGAATTGTACAACGACTTTGTATCACATTGAATGTGATTTGAGGTACTGGGGTCAGTCACATTAGGTAGGTGAAGGAAATGGCCGATCAGTCAATGCCCAGCTCAGCTATACAATGTTGGCTGGCTGAGGCGGCTATTGACAGAAGGGAAGGGGGCAAGGCGCAAGCTGCCGTCGACTTGTACCAGGCCGGCATCGATAAATCTGTGTTGCATCAGGACCCAGGAATGTAATGCAATATAAAAACAAACTTATTCTTAATCCATCGACAAGCTTCTCCGCATAACAAACCCAACATCCATCCGTTCACCGTTCACCGACTTTCCAATTTTATCAAATACTATCTCACGTGATGTCGATCGAGTCTTACCTTACTAACCAATGAAAATCTAGTGCACACACCAAAATGTAGTAACTAATTAGGTAGGAATAAGAACGAACAAGAAAGAGCATCAGAGTCATACCTCAAAAGATTTTCCTTGGGGAAGCCATAAATACTTTGAGAAAATTTCTTTCCTCTCTTTTTTGAATAACTTCAATTATCATCATCAATTGACCTTTATCAAGGTTCATATCTCCTTCTTCTCTTTAACTATTTTCCTTCCATATCAAGAACTTCAATTCCTTTAAAGGATAATTATCAGCAAAGCACATCTCCAACATTTTTCTCTTTCTTGAACAATCCAACCAACAATAAGAACTTTCCGAATAACCTCAAGATGTGTCCTTCCTGCGAACCTGAGCAGGCCTTAAATACCATTGCCGAACATGCTAATGGCAATGGCTCTACTTCCAATGGATCAAACGCATGTGCGCATCTCCTCAATCTCCGTTGTTGATAGTATCGCTGACTTCAAATTCTAGCTCACCCAGGATATACAGCAATTCAGACCAAGAAGAACCCACATCCACCAAAGAGAGATAACCCATATCAACCAGTCGGTGACTTTCTTAGCAATATCTCAAGTTTCAAGATCATCGAAAGTACATTGAGAGAAGGTGAACAATTCGCCAATGCTTTCTTTGATACCGAGAAGAAGATTGAGATCGCCAAGGCTTTGGATGATTTTGGTGTTGATTATGTGAGTCACTCAAACTTACTGGATTTCAATGGAGAAATATACTAATAGGAGGTTCGCAGATTGAATTGACTTCACCAGCTGCTTCAGAACAATCAAGAGCTGATTGTGAAGCTATCTGCAAGTTAGGATTGAAGGCTAAGGTTGGTACTACTAGCTTCCGCACACTGAATCACATACTGACTTATATAGATTCTTACTCACATCAGATGTCATATGGATGATGCAAGAATCGCTGTTCAAACTGGTGTTGATGGAGTGTATGTTGTTTATCTCTACAGATGAAGATATTTTCTCTAACATATTTTAGTGACGTCGTCATCGGTACCTCATCTTACCTCATGGAACATTCCCACGGCAAGGATATGACCTACATCAAGAATACCGCCATTGAAGTTATCGAATTCGTCAAGTCACACAACATCGAAATCCGATTCTCTTCCGAAGATTCCTTCCGATCAAACCTTGTCGATCTCCTCTCGATTTACTCTACTGTCGATAAGATTGGTGTTAACCGTGTTGGTATTGCCGATACTGTTGGATGCGCTTCTCCAAGACAAGTTTATGATTTGATCAGAACTCTTCGCGGTGTTGTCAGCTGTGATATCGAAACACATTTCCACAACGATACCGGTTGCGCAATCGCAAACGCATACTGTGCTTTGGAGGCCGGTGCCACTCACATTGATACCTCAGTTTTGGGTATCGGTGAGAGAAATGGTATTACTCCTCTTGGTGGATTGATGGCTCGTATGATTGTCGCAGATCGTGATTACGTTATGGGCAAATACAAGCTTCACAAGCTCAAGGATATTGAGGATTTGGTTGCACAAGCCGTTGAGGTCAACATCCCTTTCAACAATTACATCACTGGTTTCAGTGCTTTCACTCACAAGGCTGGTATTCACGCCAAGGCTATTCTCAACAACCCATCTACCTACGAAATCATCAACCCAGCCGATTTCGGTATGACCAGATACGTTCACTTCGCATCTAGACTTACTGGATGGAACGCCATCAAGTCTCGTGCCAATCAATTGAACATCGAAATGACCGATGCACAATACAAAGAGTGTACCGCCAAGATCAAGGCTCTCGCAGATATTCGATCCATCGCAGTTGATGATGCAGATTCAATCATTCGTGCTTTCCACAGACAAACCAAGACTGGTAAGGCTGTGGAACTTTTACCAAACTTGACTGAAGATGAGAAGGCTTTATTGGCCAAGAAGGATTCTGAGATTAGTGGAGTGCCTGAGAAGCGCAAGTTAGATGAGGTTGCAGAGAGTCAAGCTAAGAAGGCAAGAAATGAAGTTTCCGCCTAAATGAAAAGAGGAAGAGATGATATTTGATTTGAACCGAGTCGAGTCTGTTGGGGGTAGCTGAATTCTTCCCAGACAAGACGGATCTAAAGGAAAGTAGTTGAATTCTTCCTAGATCTTGGTTCAAGGACGATTGAAATCTCCCTCAATTTTTCGTTAATCGGAACAGAATGGCGGGCTGAAAAGTTGCTTGACCTATTTGATATTTCTTTCCTTTCTATTTGACTTTTTGCACACCAATTGACGATCTTCGTGGGATACACAATTTCTTGCGAGCTGCTTTGCGTCGGATGATTACCTCATTATCGTTGGATTTAAATCATACAGTCGGTATGAGGAGACAAAGAAGCATGTGTTGCTTATTAGATAGTTGGCTGGAAACACAATACAACGGATTTACATACATACTGATGAACTTGACTGATTGTTTGGGTGATTTACTGTGTTTGATATGATTGAGAAGGAATTGAGAACAAGGTGCTCAAAATTAACACTTGGGATGCTATTCTTATCGTGCACTTGATATCATTAAAAACTCCTTTCCTACACATTCAATCCGCATCCATATTTAAAGCCTACTGACTGGTCCCATCGATTCCCACACCACCAAACTATTTATTTAATTCATTTCATTTATTTGATTGAGCGACCAGCGTTGAGAAATTCAGCCAGCTCATACCGGTATCATCATATTGTAGCATATTCACATATCCACACTACACCTGTTCATCCTCTCTTCCCATCCATCTCCCCTCATACCATACATAGCAATTTACTCCCCTTATAAAATACCCACAAGCCCCAAAGCTGCTCCCATTAAACCTCCTACCATCTTGATTCCAATCGTAGGCACCGCATTCGCTGCAGCCGTACTCGTGGCTGATGTATTTGCATTCGAAGTTGCTGTCTTGGAGGTAGATGCTGATGCAGATGTAGAACTAGGTTCTTTGGCTGAAGAAATCGTCGAACTTATCGATCCCCCTGGATTTGTGGTTGTGGTTGCGGTAGCGGTTGTGGTAGCGCTGCTTGTAATACCTCCAGATGTAGTGGAAGGTAGTAAGTTGCTTGATGTACTTCCAGATACGCTTCCAGATACGACAGTATTAGTTTGTATACTAACCATACCCCCGGTATCACTCGAACTCAGTATACTAGCACTAGCACTAGCACTTCCGGCTTCAGTAGTCACAGATCCAGTGATAAGCGCAGAGGCAGAGGCAGAGGCAAAGGCGCTATAAGCGGAACAGAGAGCATAACCGATGCTAGCGGCAGCAGCTAGATCAACAACGTTACAGGCGGAGAGGAGACATGGGGTAGCGGCTGTTTGGATGGCGGCTTGCGCGGGGCCGCATTGGCAAGATTGGTCGGTGGGGGAGCAGCCGGCGAGGGAGATGGCGGGGAGGAGGCAGGGGATCTGTTTTGGGAGGAGGGGGAGTTAGGTTGGGGCGTTGTGATAAGTAGGAAGGGGGGTAGAGAGGGAATACTTACAGCGCACGCAGGTTCATCTCCGAAGTTTTGGGCGGAGATGGCTAGGAGGTAGCTACTAAGGGTGAGGAGGATTGAGAACTTCATTTCGATGATATGGTGGTACTGTATTGTATCTTTCGTTCGTTCGTTCGTTCGGTCTGATGTAAATTTGTGTATGATAGGATGGGGTCTTCTAATCGATTGTTCTCAATTCTTAATGTAGGTGAGTTGAGTGTAAATATCAAGATTCAATCACTGAATCAATCAGTCAAGTGAATCAATAGATAGTGAATGATGGTACCGGTAGAAATCAAATAACAACAGTCGATCGAATATAACAACTCGCAGGAAACGGAAAGGCACAACCATACAACCATACCTATAAGATACAGCGAGCGAGCATCATTTTGAGAATCTTGACAGGGAAGGTACTCATTTGTTGTTCCATTATACTACAGTGTGATTCGGATAAGAAAGGAAGGTTGACTTGAACTGAGACCGGTTAATGTTTCTGAGGCTTGATTGATTTTGAGTTTTGATAGGTTAGGTTCGTTTGGTTTGGATTGAACTAGATAATTACCAACCAATCAATCAATCTTTGATTCTACCCAAATATTATACACAGCGCAAGCCTTTATGAAGCTTTTGGTAGTCTCAAACCTTACCTATCGAATTTAGACTTATATCTTGGTGATGTTTTCCGAGATCGTCTCCCCGGAAAACCCCTGGAAAATCCCCCGCAAAACATGGATGGAGTGGTTATACCCGCTACCCACTACCTACCCCGCCATAGCAACTTACACCTAGTAGGTTTCACGATCGACATTATCCCTCCACTAACCTTAACCTTATTAAAAGCACACATTTAGTTCATATATGTATAAACATATTTTAACCTAGAGGAAGCTTAGTCTCTGAAAACATCTTCATCTTTAGATTTAAATTGGCTGATGTCCTGAGTCAAGAGAAAAGCACCTTCAAGACATTGATGGCACATTCTTCTTGAGATTTTATCCCGAACCTTCGTCACGGTCTTTGACTTACATCCAGTTCAGACTCGCATGATAATCCATATCATCTTGTGGCATCTTTATTATCAGATACCATCGATATTCGTATGCTATCACCGGCATGATGAAGTTTTGGACTTTTGTAAGCAGTATGCATCCACAGACCACACACAGCACGAAAGATGACTCTTGCAAAAAAAACCTCGAGCTCTCTGGCTGTAAGCTTATTGACTTGAAAAGGGTTGTCAAGTCTCACATTGATGGATTTGTTGACGAGTATCATTGGAGTTGTCAAGCTATCTGCATATACTTGGTGGAGAGGTTTCAAAAACACGAGTTGGATCTATCCGAAGATAATTTCTGGGCTTATTTCTTATTGGGATATTAGTTGAGGTGGCTGAATTTATTTATTTATAGAGAACTTGAGAGTCATTCTGACTGTGTTGTTGTGGCGCAAGTGGCCTTCGATGATCATGTGTTACTATTTCTACTATTAATTACCACAGTTTGCAGTTTGTTACTCTCTTTGATACTTTGTCTGTATAGAAGCCAGATTTTGGTGGGCGTATCCAAACTTTTTTAACCCGCTGTTCTTCACGGTTGAAGTAAAGGCTTAAAGGAAGAGTTCATGTATATTTGTCTATCACTAGACTTTTACTATCTCGAAGATTCTTGCGCCTATTTATTTGGGTCGAAGGGTGATGGGCGGCGGGCGACGCGTTTGATTCATATTTAGATATCGATGTCTATCGAATAACGACGAACCTCAAACAAAACGAGGCAATATATCTCATTGTCTTCATCACTCTCCGAATTTCGTTCGATCCTATCTGTTTGTCTCCAGTTCATACGCAATCAATCGGCTATAATTTGAAATACTCCCCCTTATCTTTTTACACCGGACACATTTTAAGATGAAGGGTGTTTTCATTTATCTTCGCTAAGCGTCTTTTCTCCATTCGACATTGTTCTCGATCATTTTCGAGGCAGCTGGTGGTTGTCGTTCTGATCTTTCTTTGTCTCCTCTTTGTCCTCTCCTTGTCCTCTTCTGATACTCTGTTGTTTTATTGTTCCTCGCTTTGCCTATAAAGCCAACCATTCCATCTCGAATAACATTTATACTCCAACCAACTTTTCACCACCTAAACCCGAAGATATCAAGACCCAAAGTAAACACCATAACTAATCAAAAACAACAACAACTCTCACAAAAATATGTGGTTCCATAGAGTCACATCGTTCAGCAGCAGCTGTAACAAGTCAATGACAGAAATGGCAGCTGCTAAACCAGTTCTTGTTAATCAACACTATCCTGTTGGTTGGGTGTGTTGTTGTTGTGGACAAGACAATGGTGGAGATCGTATCTGGTGTGCAACATGTGGTCACTACACAGTCAATTGTATCTCTTGTTTTTCCTATTAAGTGACCTTTGGTGGTTGCTGGAGAGGGAGGCATCACAGTCTCATAAATCATAATCTAAACACAATCAAATATCAAAATTTCCGTGAGTCTTCCTTTAACTATTATATATACTACAGTTCTTTACCTTTTGCTATGTGCCATTCTTTGTACTTTACTACTATACTTCACTCGTACGTATGACCTCTCCGTCACTGTATACTCAAACAAGTAATTTGAGTTCAATATCAGCCGTAATTCTTAAATTAACCCCTAGAACAATACATTCAGTTTCGGGCTAACGATTTGAAAGACATTGAGCCTGAAATACCAATACCGAGGCATCTCCGCCCGATAAAACGGAACTACAACTTTCTTTTTCTCATAATGACCGATCATTTTTCCCGACCCTTTTTCCTTTTTCCTTTGATTAGTATTCAGTCAGCTTGCGCACTTACGAACTTGGCTCGTCAAAGTTGAGCGTGGATTTGATTTCAAATAGATTATCACGTGTAAAAACCTAGAGACATAATGATGATGCGGCGCAGTTCGACATCAGCCATTTACATTGTTGAATAAGCAGATCACACATCTTATTCTTATTATCCTCAAACTTTGTTACCCAATTGCCCGATGAGTCTTACCACCACTTCTGAGTTCATGCTATTGGATCAAACTACTCGAGTACAAGTGGGAATGATTTCCCCGCAATGGCGACAAACAAGCGAGGAAATGAAGGATCGATTCTATGGGATGGATGCAGCAGGTGATGTGAAAGTACGGTGTACCATATTGCAATATTATATTTATACCACAATATGGATGTTGGGGATATTGGAGAAATTGGTTGGGGTTTTGACCTTCATGGGGTGGTGTAGGTGGGAGATAAGATATAAACTTGGGGTTGACGATGATCCCCGCCTCATTTGGTGGCTTTCCGTGGAGTAGCTTCAAGGATGCTTCCACCCCCCGCCTATTTATCACAAACACGGAAATGGCGTCGCAATTGTGCCACCACTTTGCTGCAGATTAATGAAGATCATTTCAGACGGAATATTAAATCATTCTTTTTATTAACAACACTTGAACAATCGTGATTCGTGAGTCGTATCGATCGCCAAATCCCCAGGATTAGATGACTGACTTAAGCACCTGTCACTTTGACAGTATAGTTAGTATCTTATAGAGTTCGTACTCAAGTGAGCAGGCGACTTCTCTTGTTCATGTACGTTCCTTGTACACACAAATACCTCGTACCGTGGGGTTGAGGTAAGGTTCTGGGGGCTGACGGCGGGCGTGCGCCAAATCTTCTCGAATCTACCCTAGGTCAGTCTAGTCGATGTAACATGCTCTTTCATTGGATCGAAAGATGGCACTTTTTCCTTGAAATTCTAAGATTGACAGCTCGAGGTGCTTATCAAATTCTTTCCTCGGTCGTGCCGACTTTGGCCTGATCCTGTACAAGGTCCAAGGTCTTACAGTTAGTTGGTTGGTCAACTGGCCGAGTAGAGATTCTCCATGCATAGTATTGGCTATTTACAATGCATCATATTTACGTGAACTTCTTACCATACAGCAAGGATGTAACCTAGGTTGTAGGTAGCTACAAATTGATGGAGAAGAAAGTTGATCTCAAATCCAACGCGCATAAGATTATAAGGCTTATGATTTCCACACCTCTTGGAGTTTTCTTCCACTTGCTTGTTTACTCTGCCCAGATTTCCCCAAGGCTTAAGTATTTTCTTCGTTGTCTGACGAAATGAAGGATACAATTGACACTGTCGAAAATGCTCATCCAGCTACTCATGTAGATTTGAATAATAATGTCACTGCCAAGTTAGTTCTATTGCTTTATTAGCTGAATTCCTGTTAATCTATAATATCTGCTAACATCTAATCTATAGAATCCAGAATCCTTTAGCAGGTTTAGGAGAAACAGTCATCATTCGGGATGTAGGAGAATTCGCACAAGCCAACGATCTTAACGATATCCTCCCCTTGCTCGAGAAAGGTGCCTTGGTTGCATCTGATCCCGAGAACTTCGAAAACGTAGAGAGATTGGATGAAGAAGAGAAAGTGGCTTTACGATATGAAGCAGCGCATAAATGGAGTCATCCAACTACACTATATTTGACAATCATTACTTGTTCTATTGGTGCAGCGGTTCAAGGTTGGGATCAAACGGGTAGTAATGGTGCAAACCTTTCATTTCCGTCGGAATTTGGTATCGGTCAAGGGGACAATAAGGCTTCTCCAAACTATGATCGTGACAATTGGCTAGTTGGATTGGTTAACTCGGCACCATATATTGGATCTGCTTTTATGTGAGTTTGTTTTGAGATTCATTTTATCATTCAATGATAGCTAATGATGTATATAGTGGCTGTTGGCTCAGCGATCCTTTCAATAACTGGTTTGGACGTCGCGGTACAATCTTCATTGCAGCTATTATCTGCGTTTTTACGCCTATTGGAGGAGCTTTCTCGAAATCGTGGGAAACTTTATTTGCTAGTCGTATTATTCTGGGTATTGGAATGGGTTTGAAAGGAGCTACGGTACCAATCTTTGCCGCGGAGAACAGCCCAGCTAAGATTAGAGGTGCATTGGTTATGTCATGGCAGATGTGGACTGCTTTTGGTATCTTCTTGGGTTTTGCAGCAGTAAGTATTCTTTTCGCTTTCGTCAAAAATTGGAATATTCAGCTGACATTTCTCTAGAATTTGGTTGTCATCAATACAGGGAGTATTGCGTGGAGACTTCAGATTGGCTCTGCTTTTATTCCAGCTCTCCCCCTCGCTTTCTTGATCTTCTTTTGCCCAGAATCCCCGAGATGGTTGATGAAGAGAGGAGAATATAGAAAAGCTTATATATCCCTCTGTCGACTTCGCAAACACGATCTTTTTGCTGCTCGTGATCTCTACTTTATTGATTGTCAGCTGAAAATCGAAGCAGCGATTGTCGGAAAAACCAACTACATCAGCAGATTCATCCAACTTTTCACCATTCCTCGTGTTCGAAGAGCAACTCTGGCTTCCTTTGTTGTTATGATCGCGCAACAGATGTGTGGTATCAATATTATTGCGTTCTATTCTTCAACTATCTTCAAACAGGCGGGCGCCACTTCAAAGAATGCGTTGATTGCTAGTTTTGGTTTTGGATTGGTTAACTTTGTGTTTGCGTAAGTTTTTCTCCCCCTTCTTAACCTTTCTGTTGACTTGATTTGATGATGCTGACGATGTATTTGATGATATAGCTGGCCAGCTATTTGGACGATTGACACCTTTGGCCGACGTTCACTACTCCTTTTCACCTTCCCTCAGATGGCTTGGTCTCTCCTTGTTGCTGGTCTCTGCTTCATAATCGACGAGAAATCTACCGCGCATATTGCACTAATCGCTACATTCATTTACATCTTCGCCGCTTTCTACTCGCCAGGAGAAGGTCCTGTTCCTTTTACATATTCAGCAGAAGTCTTTCCCTTATCACACAGAGAAGTCGGTATGGGCTGGGCCGTCGCAACCTGTTTATTCTGGGCCGCAGTTCTCTCAATTTCTTTCCCCAAGATATTGGAGACATTCCATCCAGTAGGAGCATTTGCATTCTACGCGTAAGTTTTCCCTCTTCTCTCCCACTCTCTCCATCACACATCCAACTAACATAAAACAGCGGCCTCAACCTGCTCGCTTTCGTGATGATATTCCTTTTCGTTCCCGAAACTAAGCAACGCACCCTCGAAGAACTAGATTACATCTTTGCAATCCCAACTCGCACATTTGTGAGATATCAACTCACAAAGACATTACCATATTGGATTCAAAGATATGTATTCTTCAGGAAGAATGCAGTGCTAGAACCATTGTATCATTTTGATGAGACGGCAGATTACAGAGCGCCGGATACAAAGATTACGGGGCATCCGGAGCAGATTGAGGAGGTGGAAAGGAGTAGTGAGGGAGAGAGTGGGGAGATCAATGTTAGTGAGAAGATTTGAGATTTAAAGGTATAAAATGAATGAAATAAATGGGGTGGGGGGTGAATATGAGGTCTTTTGTAGAAAGATAGATAATGTTGGATATATATATAGAAATAAATATATGAAGTTCTTTTGTATTGCTTCCTTATCCACCATGGTGACACATATAATCTTGACCAGGTATTGACATAATTACTGTCATTTTTCGGCACATAGTTGAGATTTATTGACTTTCTTGATGATTATTAGACAAGAATCCAGTCAAAAAAACCTCATATGTTATACTGCCAAACGCCGAGACGCTCCTAACTCACCTCCAAATATGAGAAGAAATTCTTTCGGAGGTGCAACTCCTCACACCCGTACTAGGTAGGATTGACCATTGAACTACAGCGTTTCTTTTTGCAGAATATTATAATAGGATCTTGAGTGTTTATATAAGACCCCTCTTACGACGCGGAGAAGTCCTGGTCTGAATGGAAGTAAAGCCAAAAGTTAAAGTAAATAATCGACTCCTACAAGCTGTGATTAACCCTCTTTTTGCATCTTCACTTCGAATTTTAGAATAGGAAATGGGAATTAGATTAATGAATGCACCTATCTACATCTACTACATATGTCTTAACTTACTAGTAAATATGTCACGGGTTATATGACTTAACTTAACCTAACCTAACTTCATCTAACTAATCGTTCATTCACGGGTATGGTTACTATAGTATTTAAAAAGCGTGATGAGATGAGATGGAAGTATTTTGAAATCTTCAACATTGAGGGAAGATCATCAGAGGGTGGAATAGCAAACAAGATCAACAGTGCTCAACTCGAGGACCTTGAGGGAGGGATGGAGTGTGGTTTTGAATTTTGAACTTTGGGGGTTTGAGGATTGGATTGAGTGCTGTGGTCTTGTTCTACTGGAGAGAGAGAGATATCTAGAGAGAAAGTTGAAGGATAGGAGGGGCTAGGAGGGGGGATGTCTATTGTCGTTTTTGATTTTGTGTACTAGTATTGTTGTCGTTTATCTTAGAATATTTCGGCAAGCGTTACCGATCCGGGTGCTAGTGACTGGCAGCAACACGAGATCTACATTCCTGCTTCAACACATGATTCGAGCTGAGATCTTCCTCGCCTGAGTCTTGGTCGCAGGGTAAAGGCATGTTTGCGAAGCTTTGGATGCCTGGGTTGGGAGGAATATCTTCGTTGTGGAAGATCTACCGATATTTGATATCCTTTTATAGTGTCTGGATGGAGAAACATCTTGGATGCTGTACCGATTGTTAATTGACTAACCACAAAGACCGGAAGCTTCAATTGTAGAAAGCTGGAAAGCAAACTTCGCAGTTTAAACCCTTGGTATACTAATACATGCGCATTTCTACATACCCATATTCGTTGTATTGGCTTTGAGGTCTACTACTATCTTGTAGGCAGAGCTTATCAAGTTCAGATCTTGAGTTGTCAATCGGAGGACACAGTATCATCTCAAACTGCACGCTTTATGCAAGTAATAAATCATCATCATACAAAACATATTCATTGTCACTTTCTCTTCTAATTGACAAAAGCTAAATTGCAGTAGACGTAAAAGCTGCAAATTCGCTGTTGATTAGTATGCAGATTTGGAAATACTTTTACATTCAAATTCACATACACATACACACTCACCACTTATCCCCTCACCCCTCGAATAACCAAGGACCTGAATTCGCACCACACCACAGTACCGGTACTCACTCACTCACTCATACATACCGTATAATTATACCGAGTAAAAGCACAAAACAATTCTATTCACTCACTCACTTGCTTCTTACTCACTGATACAATCCTCCCCTATTATATCGATGTAATGTAACTCTTACCGAAGTATTTCATTTATTAATGCTACCAGCGCAATCAACTATCAATTATCTTTTGTTTCCTTGTTTCCCTATTCACTTTCATAACTGCATGAATCGTATCCGTACCTTTGAAATATTCAAAGGTGCTTCCTCTATTCCCTTTTCAATCATATAAATGCAATCCAACTCCCAAACGCACCGCCAAAACTCCATATGAAGAGACTTACTCAACAATTTTCCGTACACCCAAACCATCCCAACTTAAGAAACGGAATATCCATCGAACTTCGTAAACCCCTAAACCTCAATCCCTAACCAGTCTCTGTCTCAACATCTGGTTGTCTCCCACTCAAACTTGCCTTATTCTTCATCCTCCTCGCTGCAAACTTCATCTCATCCTTTGCAAACAACAAGTTCCTCATTGGTTTCCACTGCATCAGACCCCTTTGCTTTCTGTGTAAACCCTTTGAATTTTCCTTGTAGTTTTGATATTGTTTGATCGGATTACTCGAATGACTTGATCCATTATTCCCGTCTACCTCTCTGTTTTCATTTGTTGATCTTGTGGCATCGTTTAAACCGAGATCTGATTCTGCGTCCGAATCCGAGTCCGAGTTTGAAGATGTGGAAGTGGTATTGGTGTCCTCGCTCATATTTTCGTTGACGTTCGCTTCCACGCATCCACCTTCTCCTCGTGGTTTACGCACCATGCTAGCCTCATAATCAGCATCCTGATATTTTTGTCCGTAACCATCTTTATTTACGTACTGCGCAGGATCCTGACCAAAAGCTCCACTCCAATCAGTACCATCTTGATCCAACCATTTACTCTTTTCATCCTCATCGGCTTGACTAAGAACATCTCGTCCTTGAGTAAGAGATTGATCATGAAGTTGTTGAACGGCTGGTGGAATTTCCTTCGTTACCACTTTACCACGTACACCTTCGGAATGACATGCTTCCCATGTTTCTTGGGTTTCTCGAGAATCGTTGTCGGATACAAATTTCTCATGATCTTGATCTGTACCAGCTTTGAATCGGCCTGAGAAATTAAGACGTCCAACTTCTTCAATATCGATATCTGGAATGTCATGAAAATTCTCCTCGGTGATATAGTTTTGAGTAAGTCTCATGCCTTTATCAGTTTTCCAAATTGGAATACTGATCTCTTCCTCTTTATTGTCTTCCAATTTGTGAAGCCAAATAACTGCATAAGCATCTGCTCCTCGTTTGCCGGTGACGTGAAATTCGAAAACGATGGGTGAACGATAACGGTATTTGACAGGGAGGCGAACATTATTTTTTCCTTCTTTTTTGGCGAGATCCCAGAATACACCACTACCTCCCTCCAATTTTCGACATTGAGTACGGTTAATCTTCCCAACACTTCCTCCAGTTCGAAGCTTCAATTTGGAGTTATTGGTATAACCAGTAGCGACGATCTTGTCAGATGTAAATTCAAATGTTCCTACATCCCAACCAAGTTGTTGGGGTGGTAATCTTGTTTCAATACTTCGGAACAGAACAGATATTCTAATGCGACCGAAACCAACTCCACCATCAAGAGGATACCATCTTGTAACTTGAGAACTTGTCTGTAAGAGGTCCGATAGCTTCAAAGGAACAACTCCGAGAATTGGATCATGTTGTCGCATACGTTGATCTCTAACTGTGATAGTGATAATCGCCGATCTCCAATCACGTATGAAGCGCTCAGTACCTGCATTGAAGATAGGCTTGGAAGTGACGACCTTTGAACGTGTGCGATAGACCTAAGATGGAGTTAATTTTGGCGAATCAGGACAGGAAAAGATACATACCAACTCATCGTTGTATAAAATAGTACAATAACTGCTTGGTAACTTCTTATGTTCCTCTTCCTTGTTTTCACCAGCTTCTACTGCTGGTTCGAATTCCCTACCCTTTCGTTTACCATCACTACCTTTAATACTTTGTAATTCAAGGTTGACGATTTGATGAATGATAACACTGCAAATACCACTTGGCCACAATGGATCGGGAGGAGTGTGAACCACAGAATCTTCTTCAGAAGTATCAAGACTTCCTTTAGGATCTTGTAGTTCTTCCTTATCCTGCAATTCCTTGGGTAAGTTGACATCCTTTCCGTGACTTCTCATTGCTGGTCTGAATTGTGGTTTTCCAAAGTATCCAACTTCCCAATGAAGCTCACCAGGCATAGAACTATTGGAATCCATACCACGAAGTTTAGAAACTTGTGGATACATCTTTCCTGGATGCTGAATCATTTTTTGCATGGAAAGTTCAACCTTACCAACAACATCATCAGAAGTTGATCGATCAGAATCCCAAAGTTCCATTGAAAGTTGTTCATCTGCTTTGATGAGATCAGGAGTGACGAGTAAAGCACAAGTCTCTTCCCAGATTGGATTGAGATCATCCTGGATAACTCGAGTACAATACATTGGTTTGCCGTATTTAGAAAAGCTGACAGTGATGTAAGGATCACTCCCGCCACCATCGCTTCCACGACGATCTTGTTTGCTAAGACCAGTAGCTTTGTGAATTCGAATCCAGAGAATACCGAGTGCTTCGACATCCTTTTGGATATCGTCACCCTTCAATAATTTGGCCATATCTAAAGTCATAGATTTTGGAGCAACATATTCGTTGGCGGCGGCACCAATGGCATAATTGACGAAATTGGATATAAGAGGAAGGTTGAGAATGTTGATACCAGTCTCAAGCATTGGTACACACCCTGCTTGAACCTTCGGAAGTCCCATCAATGTGAATGTGAGGGCTTTCAAAAATGGAGGTTCAGGAGAAAGTTGAAGACGCAATCGGACTGTGCCGACAAGACCTTGAAGTTCAACAAAAACTGGGAGAGGACTGTATGAGTTAGTAGAGTCGCAACATAAGGGAAAGAAAAGCTTACACTCCGAAAAGTCCTTTCATTCCGAGATAAAAAACCAATTGCATATGCATATTTTTGGCCTTTTCCGATGTTCCACCTCCTGAGGGTTCAGCATGGTAAGCAAAAGAGCATTCCAAATTGTAATAATCTCCACCTTCCTCATCTGCGGCCAATTCCTGAGGATCTTTGTTTTTCTCATTTTGCTTGTGAATATCGTCTTTCATTTCCTGAACATGACCATCTGGAAGAGCCCGTAAACTTAAAATTCGGAAAGGATTGGTCCCTTGATTGATTTCTGCAACTCGAACATTTTCGATTATGCCAGGTACTGATGCTTGCATAACATCTTCGAGAGTATCTGCCACGGAGACGAATAAATCGGGATCGATGAGGCCCCACAGAACGCCAAGAAGACTATTCATCCATTCGACAGATTCAGGAATTAGATTTGCAGTCGCCTAAGAATGTTAGCTTCGAGATTACATTACCCATACATTGGAATTCACCCACTGTTTGACCTCTTTGTCTTTCACTATGCCACTCCAGAGCTCGACCGGATCGAATTACCTCCTTCATCCAAAGGAATACACCAGATGCGACACAGGCTCCCAAAGGAACAAGACCATATAAAGCTCCACCAAACAACCTTCCCAAAATCACAATGGCTAGGAAAATTCCAGCAACAAGGACCATTGTTCGATTCTCAAGAGACTTGTACATTGGCTCATAGCTGACCGAAGGTGTGGGATGAAATAGAATGTTGGTTTTTTCTCCATGAATTGGAACATCGGAAGTGCTTCCAGGTGCGACTGGATCTGGTGGCGCCGTAATATCTTGATTATTTTTGTATTCTTCCCCAGACTGAGTTGCTTCGGTCTTGACTGGTGTATGTTTATTGAGATTGGCATTTGGAACGGAGAGCTTTATTCATAAAAATTAGTGGAATCCCAAAGATCAATAGCACTGACAGAACTAGCATACCTGTGGATTATCAACAGATTTCATGAAATTTGCATTAACATCCTCAATTTCTACATCTTTTCCAGTCGTTGGATCGGTAACAACCTTCCTCGTTCCTTCAACACCATGCGGTTGTCCTTGTGTATGATCTGTGGCATCCCCTTGAACGCGTTGTTGTAATTGGTCATTGATCTTTGCATCTCTATCTTTCTTATCGGAATCCAAACTCTCCACGAATCGTTGAATATTTGGAATTGGATTGCCCCCAGAGTAATGTGCTCCAGGGCCTTTTTTATGATCGTTGGACATGTTGATAGGTGTGAATGGTTATTGATGTGAAGTCGAAGGTAAAGGCGGGGTGGGAAAGGGATATGATATGCGGGAGGAGTACCAGTAGTCAAGTACTAAGGAGATGAAGCTATTTCTGTTGTATTGGTAGTGTATTGATAGTATTGTCGTGATGTATGAAGAAAGACAATACATAATGGATTACCTATGGTGAAATAATTGTTGGTGTTGGAATTGTATAACAAGGAAACCCAGTAGCAGTGATGTCATATTAAGCATCTTCAATTTCACTGGAGACATTCTCAGCCAAGCTTTCAGCCACACAATCACAACGAAAGGGGAATTGATTGAATTCTTGATTTACTAAACAGATTCTGATATTGAATACCAAGGTCAAGATCCTTTCTTTGATTAAGGAAAGTTCTCCGAGTTGATATTCCGATATTTCTTAATTGACAGCGGCAGGGACAGGGACAGGGGTCGCTGTGGAGGAAGGGGTAGGGAGGGGTAGCTTCAATCTATAAATATATAAATATCCTTCATTCTCCTCGTTGCGATTGATTCTTTTATCTCTGATCTAGGAATCCGACGGGTACTATTTATGCCGCAACTCCATTTATCCCCTTGAATGCCAAAAACCATCGCTATCGCTTAAGTTATTAGGGGGTCTTTGATAGCAAAAAATATACTAATATTGTAATTTAAATAAAAAGGGGAATTTTCCTCATTTAGTATTTTTTGAGATGGTTTGCTTATTTTGTATATGTATACAAAGACGCACCTGAGTATAAAATCATATAATTGTTTCGTAATGATATAAATACTAGCTCTGTCTTTCAAGATCTGGCCGATGTTGAGTAGAAAAGACATTATTAACACCAATTACTTGCTTTGATACTTTCGACTTTATGGGAGATTGTGGAAATATTTGAAATGTGAATGAATTAGGAGATGAAAGATATTGATTGCCGCCCATTACAGGTCCAGATATACTAAGGTCGCTCATTAAATCAGAGCCAATAAGTTTAAACGCCACTTTGAAAACCTGGCGTCTATTTCCATTCAGCTTGCGACCCCTCCGCATCGTTGTCTCTATCGTCTAGGTACTCTACACCTAAACATTTATCACATAGATATCTCCCTCCCCACTCTCGTTTTCCTGGTACTCCCGCTCTGGCATCTGCCTCAGCCTTTTCATAGTTGCAACAATATAATGTAGGATCAGATGGACATCGGCTCCGAATCCACTCCTCCCGATTGAAACCTGGTTCCTCAGGGCTTTTTGGCGAGCAGACACTCGTCAGAGATGTACCTGTGGATATTAGCGAAGAGTTTGCTGAGTTTTCAACTTGGTTGGTATAGGCTGCCCGATCGCTTTCCAGGCAAATTCGTTTCGTCAACAGTCCATCCTCGGGAATGGTCATCTGGCACTTTTTAGGACTCATGCTTCGACTCCTCGATGTGACAATTTCTTTTCTTTGGTCGAATGTATACACTTTCGTTACTTCTTCACCATTAGGAAGCCGCACCAACAACTGTCTCGACACAATAGCCGTGAAAAATGGTGTCAAGAGAGGAAATATAGTCCACGCAAATCTGGCATACAAAAACTGAGTAGCGACACCTTTCAAAGTCATAGACGTATTGTGAAACTCGTGCCCTAAACCGGCTGTCCGACCGAAGAATTGGACGACCCATTTCGACTGCTTTGGAACAATAGCAAATTTGCGGTCATCGAATGCGAGATGAATGTCGCTCCGAAGAGCGATAGCGTTCCGGATATCATCAATCTCCCAATCTGTTGAAAGTAGGCGATTAAAGTTGTATTCTCCCATATCACATATTGCGAACCAATATTTTTCCGAGCGTGGAACCAGATGAGCAGTTGTATAGTAGTCAGTGCCTTTCTTCTCAGACACCCGACAAGCTTTGTCACGAGAACCAACAAATGCAGCCAGGTTAGATGCAGAAGGTGGCGTAACAACGTCTTCCGTGACTGCAGCGTTTATGTCAGACCATTCAGAGGGCAAATTATCGTGCGGGAAGCTCCAGTCTGCAAATGACCTGTATACCGGGTATACTTTATCCTCGATATCGGGGTTGTAGAAGTAATATGTTCTTTGCCGTAAAAGTTCATCGTGTTGTAAATCGATTTTAGGACCGTCGGGTTGCTCCGTAAAGTAGCCATTTTTGCTGTTTCCTGCCACGATTCGATATGCTACTAGAGCTGTCCCGAAATGCAAGCCGCCGCCATCTCGATCGAATGCCGGGAGTCTAAACAGTTTGCTCTTCTTGGGTTGATCACTGTAACCTGGGTGGAGGAAGGTGATAAAGTTGTCGACGTCGCCGGCATACTCCGCTCTTACTGTTGAATCATCGAGGGAGCTTCGAAGTATCGATGGAGTGATTGTGGACGTGGACGTTGTAGTGATGATGGGTATGTAATGGAAAATCAAAGACAAGCTTTGACTCCGGTCCCTCAATACCGGAAAAACGATTTGTATCGCTACACTCTTCGAATCGTTTTTCTAGGGCACCTTAGTTCCTATATCGCAGCTCGTCCTCCGGAGGTATATTAACCTGATATTTATATAGATTAAATAATATTCTTAAATATCATCTCTTTAGATTTTGTTTTATTAATTATTTTAAAAAGTGTATTAATATTGAAAACTGACTATAAGAAAATATATAATCTTTCAAAGAAATATTTATTTTTGTATACTGATTAATATATTATAAGAATGTTTT